ACATTCCCCAAGTTTGATCTGGTACACTACCACCCTTACAGCTAGGTGTAGCTGTTTGACTAAGTTTAGGCTGGGATATGACAGGAAGTCATGTGCAACTTTTAGAGCACCTCAAAGATAAAAATGTTTCCAGGAACTTCTTTCTCCCTTTTGCTCTCTGAGAAATAGCCACAACTACCCTGCCACCTTGGACCAAGATCCAGAAGCCACATGCTGAAGATGGCAAAGTTGCCCCACTAGCCTGGGTCACTGAATGACCTAATAAAGCAGAAATGTTTGTTCAACCTAAACTACCCCATTTACCTTTGGACTTTCACCTGAAATAAGCACCTTATCCATCTATTTTATATGTCTTATCTATGTAACTGTATTTTGGGTTCTTTTTGTTTAATGTATACCTTAGTTCAGTGGTCAGCAAACCTTCATGAATAGGATTAGTGCCCTTATAAAAGAGACCCTGGTCCCTTTCACCACAGGAGAACACAATGAGAAGATGGCCATTTGTGAGCCCAGAAGTGGGCTCTTACCACACACTGAATCTGCCAGCCCCTTAATCTTGGACATTCCAGCCTCCAGAACTATAAAAATTAAGTGTTTGCTGTTTAAGCCACCCAGTCTACGGTCTTCTTGGTATAGCAGTCCAAACTAAGACAAACTCACACAGCTCAAACAAAAATCCTCTAGAATTGCACACTCAGTTTACCACCGCAAACCAACCACCTCAAAACTGAGAGGCTTATTCTTTCCAACAATTCTGCAGGTTGACTAGACGGTTCTTCTGCTACCTCTGGTAGACTTAATCATGTACCTGTATTTGGCTTGCACATCAACTGGGGCTGGGCTCAGCTGGGACAGATGGCATAGCTGAGCCTCTCTTTCTCCATGGCCCTTAGTCATGAAATGGTAATCCCAGGGCAGTGTTGAAAAAGGACAAAGACTCTGGAACTTGCACATCTATTGGTCAAAGCAAGTTACATGGTCAACCCAGAGTTAAGCGGTAGGGCAACTCCACTTTTTGATGGGATGAACTGCAAAATGTTGTGACCATCTTTTTCAATTCACCACAAACACTCTGATCCAGGCTCAGACATCTAATTTTCTATCATTTACACCTAATGAAAATGACACCACTGAAATGAAAATACCCTTGACCTGCACACGTAAATCTTTCAGCTGTACCAAACTGAAATTTTTCCAGAGAGAAACCGTGGTACTTGCCTTATTGTGACCGACAAATACATTAATAACCTCCCTGAACAAGATGCCGCATTAGGAATTATACTGAACAGTTATCACCATCAGTTATTTCCAAGATGATAATAAACTCAGGATTGCCAATACTCAATGCCACAAAAGGGAGTATTTTTCTATCAAACATTTTTTTAAATTATTTTTATTGATTTCCGAGAGGAAGGGAGAGAGAGAGAGAGAGAGAGAGAGAGAGAGAGAGAGAGAGAGAGAGAGAGAAATAGAAACATCATGATGACAGAGAATCATTGGTTAGCTACCTCCTACATGCCTCCCACTGGGGATGGAGCCCGCAACCCAGGATTATGCCCTTGACCGGAATCGAACCCGGGACCCTTCAGTCCGCAGGCCAACACTCTATCCACTGAGTCAAACCGGCTAGGGCTTTTCTATCAAATTTAAGATTTGAATGTTAAAAGGTGTAGGAATAGGAAATATGGGTGCAGCTTTTTAAAATAATCTTTATGTGGCCGAAACCGGTTTGGCTCAGTGGATAGAGCGTCGGCTTGCGGACTGAAAGGTCCCAGGTTCGATTCCGGTCAAGGGCATGTACCTGGGTTGCAGGCACATCCCCAGTAGGAGATGTGCAGGAGGCAGCTGATCGATGTTTCTCTCTCATCGATGTTTCTAACTCTATCTCTCTCCCTTCCTCTCTGTAAAATATCAATAAAATATATTAAAAAATAAATAAAAATAAATAAAATAATCTTTATGTGGAGCTCTTTTTAAGCATGACCCACAGGTGGAAACCATAAATGAAAAAAATTACAGATTTGAATATATGTGAATTTAAGACCCTGTATGACAAATAAACATATCATATCAGACAAATAATAAAAATAACAGGTACTTACAGTGTTTACTAAGTACCAAGTAATATTCTAAGTACTTTGTATTTTTAATTCATTTGACCCTTACGGCAGTCCTATGAGGTAGACACTACTATTTCCCTCATTTTTAGGTGAGAAAACTAAGGCACAGAATGGTTATGTAAGATACCAAGGTCAGGTAGTAAATAGCAGAGCTAGTATTTGAACCCAAATAGCATTGCTCCAGGGTCTAAAGAAAACCTGAAAAACATGGCTTCATATGACAAAGGCTTAATATCATTGATATGTTAAGAACTCTTGCAAATAAAAAAGAAACAAAAAATACATCATTTTTTATGGACAAAAGCTAGGACAGACAGTTCACAAAAGGGAAGTGTAAATGGCCTATAAAATATGAAAAATGTTCTTCCTCACTAGGAGTCATGAAAACTCTAACGAGATACCATTTGTCTCCTGGCCAAGGTAGCAAACGCAGCAAAAAATGATTATATATATATATATATATATATATATATATATATATATATATATATATATAATTGACTTCAGAGAGGAAGGGAGAGGGAGAGATAGAAACATCAATTATGAGAATCATTGACTGCCTCCTGCATGCCCCACATTGGGGGTCGAGCCCACAACCCAGGCATGTGCCCTGACCAGGAATCGAACCGTGTCCTCCTGGTTCATAGGTTGATGCTCAACCACTGAGCCATGCCAGCCGGGCAATAGCCATGAATATTATCTCCTTGCTAGTAGGTAGGTAAATTAATAAAAATTCCCTGGTGGACAATCTGGAGAATATATATATATATATATATATATATATATATATATATATATATATAATCTCCATTCAAATATACATGTGGTTTGATTCAACAATTTTACTTCCAGTAACTTTTGCAAAGAAATAATCAGACAAGTACAAGAAGCTGTAGGTTACAAGAAGATGTAGGTTACAGAAATTTATGTAGCAGTTTTCATATTTACTAAAGATGGGAAAAGTAAAAGACTGATTAAATATACTATGGTTCTTCCATAAATGGAATACTGTTTAGCTTTTGAAAATGATAGATTATATATTCTCCCTAGGTCATGGATTTTTAAATAACTTTATAATGTTATACTTTAGTTTTTATATAACTCTTCATATGTTTTATGTATCACTTCTATAATCCTAAATAAAGCCAATTACCTCATTTCTACATGTTTAGAGCACTGAAACTCTTCCCACATCCTAAAATGATTCCCTCTAGAAAACCTACAAGACTTGTCTGTTCCCCACCTCAGAGAATACCTACGTGATTGAATTTGCTAGAAACATGAGGAGAACATTTACTGTTACACAGAAAGGGCTATCTGATGCTGAGAACTACCCAGGGGTCATTGTCTCATGGCCTCCCACACCATATCCCCTACCTGTTCAGCTTTTCAATCACTAGTCACCTGAGATCCCAAAATGATGACAGAGATGACAAATCACAGTTCTCGAAAGCTCATCGGCCTATCCCATCCAAAGGGGGGCAAAACAGCCCAGTAATATAGACATTCAAATGAGTTTGAGGAGAGAGGATAAGAGTCCAGGAAAATCACTTCATAAGTGCAGGCAATTAACAGTCAATGCATCACCAGCCTTCTTAAGCAAAAATGTCACATGCTCAGAGCCGGGGACAATCAGAAGCTGCAGAGTGTCCTCGCCTGCTGACTGATGAAAATGACTGACGCTGGGGTGCCATCTGGAAAATCAATTATTCACATCTACTAGGCAACTGCCCCCTACACACCAAGCAGCGGCAGGTCAGGGGAAGGGAGGTTGTTGCGGTTTGTTGTTAACATGCACTATCCATTTCTCTGGCCGTGGAGCGCAGCGATAGCAAAATCAATAGGCTGCTCCAAACTCAGAAACAGAGAAGTGGGGCACCAACCGCATCCCAAGCACCTGGAAACCTCCTGACAACGCTGTCGCAGACAAATGACAAGGGGGAAGATTTCTCATCCCATCGTCATCATTTTCCATATTCTGTCTTCCCCATTTCCCACAGTAATAAGAAGGAGAACCCAAAGTTTTGTGTATTCCTACTGATTTGATCACTTTGGCAGAAAGCTGGAAAATAGGTACTCACTTTCAAAGGCTCCTCAGCTGTTTTATGTTTTTTTGTTTTATTGTCTTACTCACCACTTGCCTTATGTTCTAGTGGCCAAAAAGCCCTCTTTTGGTATGTGGAGTTGTCTTTTTAAAATATATATATATATATATATATATATATATATATATATATATATATATATTTATTGATTTCAGAGAGGAAGGAAGAGAGGGAGAGGGAGAGGGAGAGGGGGAGGGGGAGGGGAGGGGGAGGGGGAGGGGAGGGGAGGGGAGGGGGAGGGGGAGGGGAGGGGGAGGGGAGGGGAGGAGGGAGGGGAGGGGGAGGGGGAGGGGGAGGGGGAGGGGAGGGGGAGGGGGAGGGGAGGGGGAGGGGGAGGGGGAGGGGGAGAGAAACATCAATGACGAGAATCACTGATCAGCTGCCTCCTACACCACCCCTACTGGGGATCAAGCCCACAACCTGGGCATGTGCCCTGACCGGGAATCAAACTGTGGCCTTTTGGTTCATAGGTTGATGCTCAACCACTGAGCCACACCAGCCAGGCTGGAGATGTCATTTTAATGGACAGGACTTAATAAGGTGAAGACCTTCAGAAAATTCATTTCAGTATTTTCCAAGCATTGGGAAATAAAGATAATATAGAGCTTGCTTTGTCAAGTCATTTATGTTTAAAATGTATTTTAAGAAAATATTTATTTGTATGGCTCTGATGTCTACTACTCTTTGTAAATAAAAGTTACAGACCACGCCTCCTCAAAGTCCTACCAGTCTGTTTTGCAGCTGTCCCAGACTCCAGCCGCTGCTTTAGCTTACCATGGATCCCGACTGCTCCTGTGCTACTGGTGGCTCCTGCAAATACAAAGACTGCAAATGCACCTCCTACAAGAAGAGCTGCGGCTCCTGCTGCCCCATGGACTATGCCAAGTGCACCCAGGGCTGCGTCTACAAAGGAACATCAGACCAGTGCAGCTGCTGTATGTGATGTGGGGAAGGTCCTCCTCTCTGATGTATTAGACCAGGGGTCCTCAAACTACGGCCCGCGGGCCACATGCAAATACAATATTGTATTTGTTCCCATTTTGTTTTTTTACTTCAAAATAAGATATGTGCAGTGTGCATAGGAATTTGTTCATAGTTGTTTTTTTTTTAACTATAGCCCAGCCCTCCAACGGTCTGAGGGACAGTGAACTGGCCCCCTGTTTAAAAAGTTTGAGGACCCCTGTATTAGACCGACATGTTCAAACCTGCATTTTTTTTTACAACCCTGATCCTTTTGCTATATTCCCTTTTTTATCTATAAAATACATGGACAATAATTAAAGCTGTTGGCTTTCAAAAAAAAGCCATAGACTTGTGAGGATGCAAAATGGTACAAGCATCCCAAAGTTTGGCAACACCATTTCTCTTCTCCCCTCCCCCAATATCCTATTGGTGCTTCCCAATGGCTAAATCCAACGGGCCAGCTGGAAAGGGAGCGTAAGTGATGTAGGCCTTGCTGGTCAGTCTCCAAAACACAAGTCAGCGCAGAGAGGGACAGAGACTAAACCCCAGAAAGAGTGAAATGGAGAGAGCATATGGACACCATTATTTACTAAAGTCATATAGTTTGACAACTTCTAAAATCTTTGATGTGTAAATAGTCTATGAATCTGCCCAACAGTCAACCTTTGAAGCCCCCCCCCCCTCCATGTTCCCTAGGAACCACACTTTCACATAAAATAATTCACATTTCCTCAAGAATGCAATTACCTTCAGCCATTGGGCTAAAGCCAGTTTTTCATCTAGCTAAATTTAATTTTACCCAGTCAATGGGATGCTCAACATCCTTCGGCAAGCAGAACCTTTTTAGAAAAATTTTCAGTTGCCTATCAAAACTTTGACTAAGATGCTTAAAAGGAGTAAGTGTATGACTAAATCCTGGCTTTATCAGTTAAAAAGTTAAAGATCCTAGCCCAGCTGGCATGGCTCAGTGGTTGAGCATCGGGCAATGAACCAGAATACTGTTCGATTTCCCATCAGGGCACATGCCCCAGTTGTGGGTTCGATCCCCGGTGTGGGGTATGCAGGAGGAAGCCGATCAGTGATTCTTTCTCATCATTAATTTTCATTAATGTTTCTCTCTTCTCTCTCTCTCTCTCTCTCTCTCTCTCTCTCTCTCTCACTCTTTTCCTCTCTCCGAAGTCAATAAAAAATATATATATTTTTTAAAGATCTTAGAGATTTGTTCTAGAAAAGGATTCATCCATCTGGTAGGGCTTTCTTCCTCCTCTACCATGTCAGGATATAGAAAAATAAATATAGATATGAATAAAATATAGACATGAAGCAGAAATAATCTGAAATCCTCCTTCCATTTTTAAAATTTATTTTTCACTCTGCATGGAACATGTGCCTTGACTGACTCCATAACACTGTAAGGGGCTCTAAGTCCACATATATTTATAAAAAGTTCCAGAACTAAAACACACAAACTACACGAAAAACTGGGTCACTTGAAGATAAACACAGTCTACTTTCAGTCCTTAGAGCACAGCTTAAGACTTATGAGACCTGCCTTACTTTGATATTTTTTTCCACAACCCACCAAGTGACACTCTTTATTCTTCCCTTAAACCCAGAAAGCTTTTATCTCTGTGTATGTTTGCTGCTGCAAGGGGAATAAAAACCACTCTGCAATCTGAGAAAGAGAACTATAAAGGGAGGCAAGCCAAGCACAGCCTTAAGCAGTATAACCTCTGTTGTGCACCAAAGTCCACAAACTCTATTCAGCGAGGCACAGGGGTTGCCACCCAACAAATCATAAGCCCTGCAGCTCCCTCACTGAAGCTTCAGTAGTGGTCTTGTCCAGGAAACTCCGTGAGAGGGTGTAAGTGAACTGAGGCTCTTCTCTCTCTGTCAAAACCCTAATGTTCTTCGTCCATCAGGCGTTGAGCTGTTAGACTGATGCTTAAGTATAACAATGTATTAGGCAGATCATCTGAGGTTCCCAAATTGAAAAGAAAGGGCTAAGTGGCATGTGGATTGCTGACACCCTTCCAATTTGGGGTCTTCTTCCAATTGAAAGACTGCCAGATTCTATGCCAAGGAGATACAGCCAGCCAGCCAGTGGCTGGGTTTGAGCCATAATTATTTTCTGAGCACTCCCGTATAAGGTGATTGACCACCTGGTTAATTTGCCTCATAGTGTGAAGGTAGAGGCCCTCTGATAGTGTTCAAAGTGCTACACTAAGCAGAGTCTCAGTGTTAACACAAGAGTAACTAGTTCTGCCCTAGCCGGTTTGGCTCAGTGGATAGAGAGCATCGGCCTGCAGATTGAAGGGTCCCAATTCCAGTCAAGGGCATATGCCAGGGTTGCTGACTAGATCCCCAGCAGGGGGCGTGCAGGAGGCAGCCTATCAATGATTCTCTCTCATCATTGATGTTTCTATCTCTCTCTCCTTCTCCCTTACTCGCTGAAATCAAGAAAAATATTTTTTTAAAAAAAGAGTAATGAGTTCTGACCCACCTTCAAGGCCTAAGGCAAAAGTACAACATAAACTCTTCTTAGAAACATTTCCCTCTTTCTAAATCACTTTTCCTTCCACCTCTGTTCCCTATCATGTGCTCATAAAAAGTTGTCCTTTTTCCTCTGTTTCCTAATCTGCCCTAATAATAATCTATGCTTTTCCAAAGCCCCAATCTGCAGGACACCCATGAGTGGCTATCCTTCCCCCGAAGAGTCACTCAATCCAAAAGTTATTTCTCCCTTCCTAACACCCCATAAGATGTGGTTGATGGGTAAACTTCATATTCTCCAGAAATATCTGAATTTTGAGATGGAAATTCTTTTTTTAATATATTTTTATTGATTTCAGAGAGGAAAGGAGAGGGAGAGAGAGAAACATTGAGAGAGAATCATTGATTGGATGCCTCCTGCACACCCCCCACTGAGGACTGAGCCTGCAACCCAGGCATATGCCCTGACCAGGAATGGAACCGTGACCTCCTGGTTAAGGTTTAACCACTGAGCCACACTGGCTGGGCAAGAGATGGAAATTCTTAAACCCAAATAATATAACAATCAAAGAAAAAAAAACTAAGAAATGGACCTCTCCATTTTCAATTAACTTTGCCTCCTTAACCTGTCCAGAGTGAAGACAGCAGAGGAGCAGGGAACTGTCCATCATTTCAGACTTCCTTTACCAAAGGGAAAAATTACTTCCTGTCTGGCCTCCTCCAGGAGGAGGAGGGAATGAAGGAAGGAACACCTCTTCCTCCTTCTGGAAGTCACTACCTACTTTCTAATGCCCCATTTCTACCTTATCAATAAGGTTTTTAATGAGGTCATTAAATCTACTTTGACAATTTATATTAAAATATCCCTTTGGAAATAAGCTTATCAAATGTTTATCACAGATCCCTAACCTCCAAATTTATGTCACTAATTGCATAATTTTAAATTACTGTTTTTTAATTAACCTCTCTAACTTGGGGAATCTTAACTCTTGTAATTATCCTAGCTTTCAGATTACTCCAGGTAATCTGTCTTAATACTTTTTTGGAAGTAAACAGGGTATAAGTAAATGTCAGTAAAATAAATTTTAAAGACCTCTGTAGATGACAAATATAATTGTTCTGATTCTAGCAACCAGAACTGAGTTCAATATCCATGTAGGGGTAAGATATTAACTCCTACAAACTGTAAGAGGAACCAGGGTCAAATAAGTTAATGTATCAATAAGATGTTAGCAACTTACTCCATAGAATTGGACTCACTAGCTATTACAGCAGCTCACACATATTAAACAAAATGACCTTGAAAAGCCTCTTTCCCCACTAAACTGACAACTCTCTTCTTTCAAAGATGCCTCCGTCTAAGATGGTATCTCAACTTCCCAACCGACTCCATCCTGCTCCTACTGACATGATCAAAATGTGGGAAGACCATCGTAGATCATTTCTTGTGGTGTCGGGTGCATTTTAAAAAAGGGAGCAAGACTGGCAAACTGAAAAATCCATTACATTAATCTACTAACAAAATGCAGAATAAGCTTGAAAAATAATGAGACCATCACTGAATGAGGCAGATGGCTTGGCAACCCTAAAAGACTAACATCAAACAAACATTCATTTGAGTCTTCATCTAGCTTTGCTAAATTAGTATGTGAATTCAAACATTTGTCTTTCGATATTTCTTTTCGGGCGATGGGAACTATGTGAGTAAGGACCACAAGCAAAAGGAGGAGGAAATGCTAGCCAAAGAAAATGGCACTTATGTCACGCTGATGCTAAGCCTTATGTGGGTATAATAGAAACTATTGGAGACCTTCCATCTATACCTCAAAGGCATAAGGACATATTTGAGTTCTTCTCTCATGTATAATTATCCATAATTATTGCCCCAAGTTTTGCCACCACATTCTTGATGCGTTGCAGTAGAATTCTTGTCATGCTATTGGTGGATTGATCTTCAATAATATACATACTCACAAGCAGGAAAAATAGATTCTTACCCTCTATGAAAGTTCATATAGGGATGGGGATTACATGCAGAAAATTTCTTGCTAAACTCATATATAAAATGAGGAATACAGTCTTATTAAATCACACAGCCTTCAAAGAGTTTACTATTTAGGAATATCAGGCCTTAGTCACCAAACTATGCAAAGAGTATACTGAAGGTGTGTGTGTATGTGTGTATGTGTGTGTGTGTGTCAAGACTCACTTAGATTTTCTACTCAAAAGTTACAATTTCAATACACTGAATCTTTATAGGACGCCATAAAAGAAAATTAGCTGTTAAAAAAGGAAGTTACGCCCTGGCCAGTGTTGTTCAATGGTTAGAGAGTCCACCCAAGCACCAAAGGGTCATAGGTTCGATTACCAGTCAAAGGCGAGTACCTGGATTGTAGGTCCACTCCCAGTCCTCATTCAGGGCGCATGTGGTAGGCAACCAGTCGATGTGAGATTACCTCAATATTTCTCTTTCTTTCTCTCTCTCTC